ATGCATTTCAATGGGCTTTTTTATTTCGCTTGACAAGGATTTCGCTCTACAGCGATTTCGCTGGAACTGATTATCTTTGTCAAGGGAGGCACCACTTGAAGGTCTATCATTTGATTCCTTGCATAAGCAGACAAAGTAATGCTCAATTAGGGTTGCCCCCTTTTAAATTTTGAGTGACTCCTCATTATAATACCTATATGTAAGTAGAACACGGCCATGATGAGTATGTCTGCACCTACTGAATCCCAGTCAATGCAAAAGAGGGGGATTCATTTCCATATCTTTGAATGATTTATCAGTACTCACAAATCCAAGCTTAGCATGGAGGGGGGAGGACAAAAAACAAAAGAAAACAAAAGTGGCATTCATTGGAAAGAATCCAAAATGAAAGAAATAAGAAAATATTCACTATGCATGTCCCTACTAGACACAGACTATGTCTATAAAAGGTTAATTGTTAATGTAAGCATTTGAATGTCACAACAGGAATTTCTTCCACCTTCCCACAGTGTGCAAATTAGTTTGCTTTCTGAGGTGACTAGTCTTCAGGACTTAAACCTGCTTTACTACATGGCACAGCCACAAACATATACACTCACAGGACCAACCAACTTCCGTTCCATATTTCCCATTGTGCAGAGCACAATTCTATATATGTGTAACTGCTATGTGAGCCCATCCCATATATTTTAATGTGACTTACTCAAAGGTAAATATGTACAAGTTGTAACATTTAAAATAAAGCAGATTAATACAATTTTTTAAAATGGAATGTGAGGCATGTTTTTGTATAGTCATGTGCTGTAGTTATGGGTTGTTTTTTTTCAAAACATGCATAATCCATTAGAACAAGGTTACACCATGTGCACCCTACATGTCACTTCGGATATCTGACAACTTCTATTTGCCCTAGTACACTAATCCCAAAAGAGCTGAATCACTTCTTTCATGTGACTAACAGGGTCACTATTCATTATTGTACTTCTAAAGCACTATCTCTCACACAGGATAGAAAGAGCAACACATACCAACTTCTTGAGTTCCTGCTTTGAAACAATGATCACATTTGGTGGGTCCCCAACAGCTGTAGAAGCCCCTCCAATGTTTGTGAAGATTACCTCAGCGATTAGAACATGTCTGGGGTCAAGATTAAGCACTTCGCATAACCTGCAGTTGCACAGAGAAGAAGCAAAACCAGAAACTCATTTTCCCACTTCTAGAAATAGTGCCTTAAAAACATCAAAAAGTTAAGCTTGTTCAGGGTTATTTTAAATACTTAAAAAAACTAGTATTTATTGGGCTCCTTTCTATACACCATTTGTTCCTTCCCATTACCATACCTCTTGGTGCAGCATTGTACCAAATATCCATTGGGTATATTGGCATTTGTGTCCAACCTTGCTTTTAAAAAATACTTCTGTTTTAAAGAAATCAGTGTCTTTCAAAATTAGTCAAAAATCTTGACAAAATCTTTTAGAAGTGAGCTTTTATGCTAGAATTTTCTCTGCTTTGAATTATGGTTTAGCATTATTTTTTCTGTTTGTGCACTCCACATTTCCTTTACCAGATCATTCTCTTTTCTCTGCCAGATGCTTTTCATTTGCTCCCCCATTCTGCTTACACTTTCCCTGACTCTTATTGCCTCATCTGCTTTCTCTGCCTTGCTTTTCCCACCTGCCTCAAACCTTTTGCCTACGGCTGGATCCAGGAGTGGTGGGAAAAATTACAAAAGGAAGAAGAAACAGGGGCTCACAAGAAAAGGTAGATCAGCTGTGACTTTTTGGAAAGACATGAGAAAAGAAGGCACAGGAAAGAAAAAAGAGGATTAAGGGAGGAGAATACCAGCTGTGACTTTTTGGAAAGACGTGAGAAAAGAAGGCATGGGAAAGAAAAAAGAGGACTGAGGGAGGAAATCTATATACAGTATAATAAATATATATGTAATAAAAGCTCAGAAAAGACTGAGATTGAGCCCATAATTTGTAAATTAACTCGTTTTGTTTCTTGATGATAGCTATTGATTTCTCAGACATGAATGATTGTCTTCATTATGTCTCCTGAACATTGATGTGGTTCCAGCTCTAATTATGGGTTATCTTAAATGTAAAGCTTGGTCTTCTGTGTGATCTTCTCTGTCAGAAGAAGGGAATGATTCCTGTTTCACCTAGTTCAGTATTGTCTGCACTGGCAATGGTTTGTCGAGTTCTCCAGTACAAATCTTTCCTTTACTTGATACCTTGTCCTTATTCTGATGACTGAAGATGCCTTGAGATGCTCTCAGAGATGGGAAACTTTTTTTTTTCTGTACAACTTCCACAATCCCATAGCCAGCATACCTGGTTGGGATTATCAGTCGCTCGCAATCCAAAAACCAAAACTACTTTCTGTCTTTGGACATTGTCCATCTGCTCCCTGTAGAGCTATAGTCCCTCCAGTGGATATGGTAAGGATTATTGCCAAAAAAATAGTACCTCAGGTACACAGAACATTGAAAATGTGCCTAAAGATTGGGTATTGTTACTGCTACTGCTGCTGCTTTTACTGTTGGCTGGGTGGTGTTAGACTCTAACTGGTGCTAATTAAAGTTAAACAATATCTGGAAAGCCGATGATTGTCCATTCCTGAATTTATTATATTATTTGAAAAACAGTATGAGATTATACTGAAAATGCAGATACATGGTAGAACATGTCCACAAAGAGATAAGAAGGCTTCTCTGCATGTATATTATCACCTTCTTTCAAAATTAGAGCCTTCTTCCCATGGGGCTCAGGAGATTTATTGGGCAAAAAGATATTCTCTATCAGAGTCTGTGAAATCACTTTTAATGAGGAGATGAGTACATTCTGTCTGCTAAGTGATATTAGTGGGCTCTATTGTGGATACAGGCTTAGCCAAGATTTACAGTTTTTCATATGCAAAAGCAATTTTGGAAAACGCACCAGGAAAACAGGTAGGAGTGGTTTCATTTCCCAGGCACACATTAAAACACAAGCCACAGAATTCTGCTTTTTTCACAACTGAGTTTACCACAAAATGTAAGAAGAAAATAAGATCATATTTCATGCGTCACTGGTAAAAGGCTAAAGCCTCATTGTCAAGGAATTTTCTAGTGAGCTTTATCACCATGGTAATAGCAGCTTACAACACCATTTTAAAATTGGACTGAGGAAGAGAGTAACAAAATAAAGTGAATGACTAACAAAACAGCATGAAAGGGAAAAGGAAATATGATTCATTTTTTAAACTTAGCACCTTTTAAATTTTTTTTAAAAATGCATATAACCAACAGGTTTCAGATCGGAAAATTAAAAAGCCTTGACAGAATGACATCTGCATTATGAAAACTACTATCCTCACTGAAACAATAGACATGTTAATAATATACATTTCACCCAGGAAGAATTTTAGGTTTACAGACCAAAAGATGGACTTCTCTCTAATCAGAGAGTAGAGTGAGGGAAAACAGTATCAAAGACAGCAGTCTATTTGCATTTTCCAGGTCAATCTTCAGCACAAAAGTAGTGCAGCAGACAAGTGTGTGGGGAAGAAGTGTTCGGTACAAAGGATGGGCAAGCTTTGGGTGCTGGGGGAGTATTTTTTTTTTCTACTGCAGGATTCTCAATGGGCTGCACTGACCCCTCCAAATGAAATGGGAAGGGAAGGGGAAAAGTCAATTCCAGTTCCGAAAACACAAGCAAAACACTTCCACTTTTTAAACCTATGTTGCTGCTGTTGTTGCTTTGCTAAAAGATGAGTGCCCACTTGGTTTTAGAGAGTAGAAACGTATCTCTGAGGGAATAAAAATTAAAATGGGGAATTTATTTCCCTACCCTTGGAAAGGACTGCATGAACAACAAAAAATGGAGCTGTGAGTCACAGGCAGTCCAGGCTTACATGATTCCCACCCTTACTCTAGAGGAGGGGCTGTGCTAGCTTGGGGAGAGAGCCACATTTATGGTCCCAAAGTCTACTACTTTCTATAAACTATAATCTAAGAATTGCAGAGCTGGAAGGGATCCTGTGGACCACCAAGTTGAGCCCCTGTGAAGGAGGCAGAGTGAAGGAATGGAACCCCCAACCTCTGGTTCCATAGCTGGATACCTAAACCTCTGAGTTATCCAGTGGCTCTTGGTTAATTATGATTAATCAACTGAATGTGAACATGCATGGCATGTTCTATTCCCCCTCTCACTTCTGGAAACTAAATTATCCCAAAAGGCTAAATGAATTATTCAGCTAGCAGCTGCCAGGTGAGTAGCATTCGATTTCCCAGTATTTGATTTATTTATTTCTTCATCTTAGAAAGGCAGAGCTGGAAAGGACCCAATGGATCATCAAGTCCAGCCCCCGTTGGGGAGGCATAGTGGGGAACTGAACACCCAACCTCTTGCTCTACAGTCAGATGCCTAAATCAATGAGCTATCCAGCAGTTCCATACAAAAGCCTGAGGTTGGTCACATGATTACAACTGATGCTTACATTGTATGTAGATTACTTCATCATGTTTAGGCAACTGCAATGTGATCTGTGCTTAACGAGGGTCCTAAATGTTCAGCTTGTCCAACTCAAAAAAATAAAAAAAAGCTAAAATGCAAACCAGTTTGCAGTATATAATACCCTAACACTGAAAGACCTGCACTCGTTTTCTCGATTCATTTCCAGGTGCTCAGGTATTTCAACCTTTCAAATCCTAAATAGTTTAGCCAGCCCTAAATTACTATCTAAAAGCCCATCTGTCTTGCCATGAGTCTGACCTACAAGATCTGCAGGAGAACAGACTTCTCTGAACACCTTTGCATCCAGATGTCTGTGTGTCAGGCAGGCAAGAAAGGGTTTGTGAAAAGCACTTCCTCCACAACGACACAAGTCCCCCTCCCTGCTGTCACACTTTAGCTTTTAGGAGCAGACTTTATTGAGATGCCCTTCTAACCATCCTACATTTTAAATTATTTTTTACATATTATGTCTATTGTATGGGCTGGAATCCTATTGGTATTAATAAGGTGATGAGATTGCCAGACATGGGATCTGTCAAAGAAAAAAAATTCTCATTCTTCTGGCAGGGAAAACCATTGAATGAGACCAGGGAATATGGGGTTGGCTTTGCAGTCAGAAATACTCTGCTGAGATCCATTGTCCCACCTACTGTGGGAAGTGAAAGAATCCTGTCTCTGCAGTTCCACTCATCAGCGGGACCCGTCACCGGTTAGTGCACATGCACCAACATTGTCGTCTACAACAGAAGTCAAAGGCAAATTCTATGATGATTTGACAGCTGCTATCCAAAAAATCCTCGAAAGAGATGCTGTTCATTCTCGGAGACTTCAACGCTAGAGTTCTTGCTGATCACAGTTCCTGGCCCACTTGTCTAGGCCGTTTTGGCATTGGAAAGATGAACAAAAATGGCCAATGCTTGCTGGAGTTTTGCTGTTACTTTGATGTTTGTGTCAGCAAAACCTTCTTTAACACAAAACTTCAACACAGAGTTTCCTGGAGACAGCCGAGATCGAAGCATTGGCATCAGCTCGACTTGATCCTCACTAGACGCTCTAGCCTGCCTAGTTTTACCATCACACAAAGTTATCAGGGTGTTAATTGTGATACTGATCACTCCCTGGTGTGTAGTAGAGTAAAACTGTGAATAAAGAGATTGTATCACACGAAAAAGGAAGGAAGACCATGTATTGACATCCACAAATCTTGCAATCAAAGAAAAGTAGTGGAAAGTAGAGGAATTTGCCCAAGCACTTGAGGAAACCCTTCCAGACCCAGCTGATGCATATTCACCTGAATGACGGGAACATTTCAAGAACGCTGTTTATAACACCGCCTTGTCCACATTTGGCAAGAAGACCAAAAAGACAGCAGATGGGTTCGAAGCCCATTTGGACTTGATGCCAGCCATAGGTGATAAGAAGAGAGCTCTAGCAGAATACAAAGCCTGTCCTAGTGAGTACAACTTGCAGGATCTTCAAGCTGCTCGTAGCACAGTCCAGCAGGCTTCCAGGAGATTTCTAACTATTATTGGCTTCAGCTCTGCTCGTAGGCTGCCAGGAGATTTTTAACTATTATTGGCTTCAGCTCTGCTCTCAGATACAAATAGCAGCAGACAAGGAATGTATGACGGTATCAAGCAGGCTTTAGGTCCAATACAGAAGAAATCT